TGCTATCAAGAAAAGCAATCCAGGAGGGTATGCAAACCAAGATCATAGCAAGAAAATGTCCTGTTGTTTAAAGAGCAAGAGAAGAGATCAAAACTGAGGTTTTAAGAGTTTTTCCAATATAAAATTGGTATAAACTGACTAAATTTTCATATAAGAAATGTACAAAATACATTGAGCTATGAAGGTTCAATATTAAGATATGCACTTCACAAGTTATCACCATAACACAAAACTCCAGTGTTACAAGTATGCCTTTCACAAGGATGAAATATATTATCAAGTTAGACCCATTCCTGAACTGTACAAAAGCTATTTTCATTAATTCACTGTGACCCCCTTAACTGTGGGTGTAGTGCTAATACAAAGAGATTGCTATTTGGTCAGCTTCTTTGAATGAATGTACTGAACATAAGCAACTTTATCCTCATTTCTTACCCACGTACTTGAAAGTACACCATAAGCTTGCTAATAACCCTCTACAGAGAACATGGGTCATTTTCAAATCAGATGCAGAATAGAAAACAGTTCTAGCTAACCACATAAAATCAATAAAACGAAAACTTGCTCACCAGAAATCCCTGCTCTCCGAAAAAGCAGAAAATGTACTCAGGAAAAGACAAAAAGAAAACTTCCTGTAATTCTATCCTACTGAGTAACAATATTTAGGAACGCCCAAACTTTTTATACAAATGTTTGTGCCATCTACTGACAGCTTGTAAAATGGCATTTGCTTTCCTCCAGACGTATTTTCCACATACAACACTACTGTAATATCCATATTATTCAACTGTTATTGAACTATATGTTTTCTTGCTTTGCAATAGATTAAACGGGGGGAAAATTAATCTTTTTACCAACTTCCTGTCTTTGTTAATTAATATGAAAATAAGTACTTTGAGCAAGTTTTACACTGAAATTCAAACATCTCCTCTGAACTTAATAATGATCTAAGTTTACATGCATTACTGTGATTTTTTTTCCATTTTGATATACCGATTCAGTTGTCAAGTTATTATCAAGACTGGTTTATAAAAGTACCATTTGTCTTAGTTTAATTTACATTTAATGGGAATGGAAAAATAATCTTTCTCCTGCTCCAGCAGTGTTGTGATTGGGTTAAACAGAGGACACAGAAACAGTGAGTGGGGTTTGGTTTTCGTTGTTTTTTTTTTAATAAAAACAGAGCAGTGACTTCAGTATTGAATGCCCAAACACAGGGTTATTGTCCCAGCAAAGACATAAACCAATCTTTCTTTATTTCTGCATAATGTTGGTCAGAAATTCCACCATAGCTGAAATCTAAATATAGAACTGCCACAATACAACCTACCTTACTGGGTTAGTATACCACAACTCATTTATGATTTAACATTTCAGTGATTCAGGAAGTAGAGGAAAATATCTAAAAAATTACTTTTTTCACTTTAAAGCTTATTCTGTAGATTATATTTCATTTCTCAGCCTTAAATGAAAAGAGGTCATCCAATAAAGGAAAGGAAAGATGGAACAGCTAGTAAATGACAGAATATGGAAAATTCTCCACTATCATGATGATGAGCCTTAGAGTGGTACTCTATGATTTTATGATTTGTTCTCCATTTCTGTCAATTCAGACAAGACTATTCACAGCAGATTTCCAAATGACACCTTATAACAGCGTTACATACAAACCTCACCATTGCCTGCTCTTAGCTGGATAGATTTTGCTATCCATTCTTAGGATGAGATAAAATCCTAAGGTAAGATCTTGCTTCTACCAAACATTCATTCCTGTTTTGGAATGTAACAGCTGAACTGCCTGAATGTAGCCTGCATGTTACTGAAATGAATACAGAACCAGACGTACAATTGGTTAATGTGTAATAACTGCCATAGAGACCCTTATTCAAGAGTATCTCTTCAGTTCAGTGACAGTAGGAGCTGGCCACTGGCAATGCCTACATACTACAAAGACAGATGCAGCATATGCTAAACAGAAAAATAAGCATATTGCCATTAACTGGATGCCATTAGCCCTTCAAATTTACCCCTAAGAACTACCAGTGCAATCACTGAAAGTAGATTAATATAGTCCTCGAATGTTATGCATACATCCATGTTTTAAGTCTTTCCACCTTTTATTTGTATTTATCTATTTATTAAAAGGCAAATCTTTTCTGAAACCCATTAGAAAGATGATGACACTCAGAGTAATAACAAATTTCAGTGAAAACTGAGATGAATGGAAGTGTTCAATCTCTAATGCTTATTTGTTGCAAAAGTATTGAAATATTACCATAGTGAGACAATATAAGTGAAATTAATTACTGAAAAATGAAACAGAAAAAAATTAGAAAATGCAAATGTTAATTTAAAAAAGAAATTTAGAAACTTAGGAAATGTATGCATCCTTCTGTCCAGACAGGCATACGTACGCATTTACACACGTATAGTGTTAATTTCATCCTGAAGTAATGATCCTCTCAGGCACATGGTGTGACTCTTTGGGGATGGTCCTGTGCAGGGCTAAGGGCTGGACTTGATGATCCTTGTGGGTCCTTTCCAACTCAGCACATTCTCTGATTCTGAGATAATTGTGTTACAACAGTGATTAACAATGTCTTGTAGCTCTACAGCATGCGTGGTCTTGTACAGAATCCCCAAAACTGACAGTGCAAGATCCACGTTACAGTCAAAATTACCATCTCTCATGGGTAAAACAATCTCCAGCTATCGTGATTCCCCTATGACACTACCCTTCCACAAGCTCCACTGAAAAGCAGAGGGAAATCCAAAAGACCACTCTAGATTTCATTTTCAATAAATACATCTAACATTAATAAATTAAAATTCTCTGACACTTAAATTCTCACTGGAAGACCCTCAAAAGAAACGTATTACTTAGGGATACAATATTTGTTCTGCTACCACCTACCTTAATGAGAAACTTCAGAGCCTTTTTCCTGATAAGCGTGTAAGTCACACATCATGATAGGTATTTGTAATGCACGCTTTGAGAACTGTGGCTTTATTTTGTGGCCTCCTACAGTAGCTCTCCTCAGTGATTGACAACATGTTATTTTGCCTCCTGTGGCAACACTAATTTTTTTCTTTGGCAGACTACTGACAAAAATGATGTTATGATAAATTGTGGAACTGCTTTTATCATGCTAAAGGACATGCTTCGCCTTAACATAAAGTGGTAAAAAGAGGAAGGGGTATGAGGAACTATGGAGACAAAAAACAGGTTGTTGGGCAAGAGCCTGCAAGCCCTTTGCTCAACCCAGTATTTCTTTGGTGGCTGCAGGCACCCAGTGTCAACACCAACTGACTGGAAATGTATGCACGTACCACCCAGCTCCTGTCAGAGGCATTTCCTGTAAACACAGTGATAACGAGGGTGCAAAGCAGCATCTGAAAAGCTAAATCTCAGTTGTTTAATTCTGCAACCCCATGCATTAGTAGGTGCTCCCTTTGAGGAAGGATTAAACTTTCTAAAAAGGATATAATAAATTTTGATGCCAGTTCAGTGACTAGACTCATTGAAACTTAAAATGCCCCAGTATGAACATTATCAGTTTGGCCATAACAAGTTATCTAGCATACAGTTGGATAACCACAACTGTCTAAGGGGTTGGGCACAAAGGGTTATAGTCAATATGGAGTAACATCAGGCTGGCAACCTGTCTCTAGTGGGGTTCAGCAGGGCTGCATCTTAGGCCCTGTGCTCTTCAACATCTTCATCGATGACCTGGATGCAGGACTCAAAAGAATACTGTTTGCTGATGACACTAAGCTACTTGGGAGGAGTTGTCGACTCCCTCTAGGGCAGACAGGCCCTGCAGAGACCTCAACAAATTAGAGAGATGGGCAATCACCAGCCATATGAAGGTGCTGGATTCTGCACTGGGGACAGGGCGATCCTGGTTGTACGTATAGAGTAGGGAACAAGAAGCTGGAGAGCTGTGCTGAAGAAAGGGACCTGGGGGTCCTAGTCAATGGCAAGTAGAATATGAGTCAGCACTGCCCTGGCAGCCAGGAGGGCCAACTGTGTCCGGGGGGGCATCAGGCAAAGCAGCACCAGCTGGTCGAGGGAGGGGATTGTCCCGCTCTGCTCTGCACTGATGAGGCCTCACCTTGAATATTGTGTGCAGTTTTGGGCAACACCATAAAAAGATATGAAGCTATGAGAGTGTCCAAAGGAGGGCAATGAGGATGGTGAAGGGACTGGATGGGAAGCCATGTGAGGAGCAGATGAGATCACTTGGTTTGTTCAGCCTGGAGGAGACTGAAGGGAAATCTCATTGTGGTCTTTAACATCCTCAGGAGGCAAAGCACAGGGGCAGGTACTGACCAGTGACAGGACTCGAGGAAACGGCATCAAGCTGAGTCAGGCGAGGTTTAGGTTAGATATGAGTAAAAGGTTTTTCACCCAGAGACTGGATGAGCACTGGGACAGGCTCCCCAGGGAAGTGGTCACAGCATCAAGACCGACAGAGTTCAAGAACAATGCTTGAACAACTGAGTTCAAGTTGCAGGACGCTCTCAGGCACATAGTGTGATTCTTGGGGGGGTCCTGTGCAGGGTCCGGAGTCGAACTCGATGATCCTCATGGGTTCCTTCCAATTCAGCATATTCTGTGATTCTATGAAATTTACCCCTTTTCCGCCTCAGCGCGGACGCGGGGGATGCCGCCCGCGCCTGAGACAAGCGCTGCTCCACCCGCGCCCGGCGCTCCCGGCCGGCGCCCGCCTCGCCTCCCCCGCCGGGACACCGCCGGGACACCGCCGGGACACCGCCGCAGCCCGATCCCCGCCGCAGCGCGCCGGGGGCCGTGAGGGGCGATAATGGCGGCCAGGGCCGCTCTCCGCTGTGGGTCAGCGCAGCCTGGAGCTCGGGGGCGGCTCGGCAGCGGCGCGGAGCGGACCAGCCCCTTTGCTACAGGCGGGCGCCTCAGAGAGCCGGAGGCAGCGCGAAGCAGAAGCGCCAGCCCTCCCTCCTCCCTGCGGGCTGGTCGTCCCGGGCTGTCCGGCGCGCTCTGCCTCCTCCCCCCGCTGCTGCCGACGTGGCGGGGCGGGGAAGGGAAGAAGAAGGGGGCGCGCCGGCCGGGGCACTGCTGAGCGGTAAGGAACCCGGCGATTTCTACTTTTTCTGCCGCTTCTGACACTGCGGACTCCTCGCTACACAGCTCTACTCCAGAGAGGATTTCGAAAAGAGGGGGGAGAAAAGGGAAGGGGGAAGCTGTGGCCGCTGCGGTCTTGCGGGAGCGGCGCCCCGCCTGCTCTGCCCTTCCTGGGGCAGGGGGACAGCGGGGCAGCGGGGCAGGGCGAGCTGGCGCCAGGGGTGTCGCCTGCGCTCGCCGTACCCGCAGCGTCCCGCGGAGGAGAAGCGGCAGCGGGCGTCGAGCGAGAGGGGAGCGCGGTGCCGCCGCCAGAAAAGTTATCCCTCAGGCACGGGGACGGTGGTCCGTGCCCAAAGGCGCCCGGCGGCGGCTGGGATTTGCTTCCGAGGCAGGATGAAACCCCTCGGGCGGAGGGTCGGCAGGTGCCGCCACCGCCCGCCCTCTCAGGGCGGCCCGTTCCGGCTGGTCGGTGCGGGCAGGGTGCTCCTCTGCCGCCCTGTCCGGAGCTGGCCTTGGCATCTCCCTCACGAACTCTCTGTAGATTGCCCAAAGGGAATTCCCTTTGGGCAGAGTTGTCCGGGTTGATTTGGATCAGGATAGTGTCACGGATGAGAGGTTGAATGACTCCTTACCCCGGGTGCAGCACGTCTCGTGTGTTCTGACAGATCTGGTAATTTGCTATTATATCCTTGCTCCTGTAAGGAAGATTTAGCAGACAACTGCAGGGACCGCGGCCTGAGTGGTCCCCAAAGATGACCCAGTCCTGCAAAAATTTATGTGTACATGTCTGTGCAATTCTTAAAAAAGTGCCGGGCTCACTCAGAGCTGATCTCCGAGCAAAATGATGAAGTATGTGTGTACAGGTTTTAAAGGTTTTGGTAGAGGATTCTCATCTCTGACGATGGACTTTTTCTACCCATCACGCAGGGGGTACTGTTAAAACATTGACAATACTTACCTATACTAAAACATTTTATAGTATTTGCTGTATTTGTCATGGAATACTTGTGGCAAATGCAAAGATTCTGACTTGTAAATGCATGTTTGCTGATGATAATTAAGGTTCATGTAAGTTGGTGTAATATAAGTGGTACCAAATGCTGTTTATTTATTTTCTTGTTCACTGATACCAAACGCTACTCTTGGAACTGTTCAAGCAACTGATCTTCCTTCAAGTGAGATAAACAGGCTGTTAAACCCACATATCTATACAATTCTATAGATTTTAATAAAATATACTTATTTAAATACATGCTTCTTGGGCAAATTTCTCCTAAATCCCAATTATATTTTGCTTTTTTGCCTTTTTTTCCCCCGTTCTTCCGTCTCACAGAACCTCATTTCTTCCTGTCAAGTACAAACCTTTGAACCATATTTAATTAATATGAGTCAATGAAAAGGCAACATCTATGGGGAGAACTGTATGAGTTTATTTTATGCCATGTAACTCAACACAGTCAGGAGCTTGCAAGCTCTGTCAAGGGTTGTCTTCTGAGTAGAGTACCAGGTATATTGTTGTTGCCAACAAGTAAGTGGTAGTAATCACTGTACAGTAGTCCTTTGGACTCTGCCAGTGCCACTCCTTAATCAACTGTAGAGCTTGCTCAGGGTCCATATCTTTTCTTTGTGGATCCTCAGCCAGATGACTGCACAGTGGTGCAAAATACCTCCAAAGTTACATTGGAAGATATGGAGTAGATAAGAGAAAACTGGTTCATAACTTTCAAAAAAGAAAAAAAATCAATAACTGTACCTCAAACAATCTTACCTTGGCTTCAAAATTGAAGTTTAATTACATAGCTGGAATTTCAGGAGCAGGTGAGAAGCGTTGCACTTCCCAGAGAGCAAACCTTTGAGACAAGTGATGCAGAAACAATGTAAGCAATGAATGTCTATGAAATGGCTCCAGGGACCATGGCCTGTCATGTTCACAAATTATGCCCCTTCTCCAACAGATGAATATCCCCACAGTTTTAGTCACACTGTGTTACCCTCCTCACCATCGGTCAGCAGCCTGTAGCAACCTGTGTATGTGGGGATGACGAAACGGAGAGGAAGAGCTGCTTGGCTGTTGCAGCTCCGATTATCCTATTCTTCAGTGGTCTTTCTTGCACACCTAATAGTGAATGTAAAAGTTAACCATGTGGGAGCTCTTACATTTAACTTCTTCAGACAAATGAAAATCCTTTCTCTCTCACTAAACTATATCTTGGAAAACAGTAGTGCTGCTCTTCATACTTGAGTGAGATCCTGCAAAGTGAATAGAGTATTTAGAGTATTATCCTGGTACCAGTGCCAGCATGATGCATGTGCCACAGGGCTCCATGCTTTAGGAGGCCTGAACACTGTGTATTTTATAGTAATTCAAATGTTTATGGAACCTAAAAGACTTTGTTTTCTACATTCAGAATTGAAAATGTCTGAAGACATATCTGATGGCATCCCATCTGAAGAAAAACCTGAAGTAATGGAAATGCCCAGCAATGAGGTATTGCCTCCTGAATCAGTACCACACCTCGTAGAAGCTGAGATCTTGCATGAGTCTTCACAAGATGAACATGGACAGGCCACTCAGAGTGCCAGTAATAGACAGGAAGGAGACATAGTAATTAATGAAAACCCTTTGACTGAAAAACTAGTTGAAGGTCTGCCTTCCAGTGAAGAGGCAACTGAAGACTTACCCACTGAGTGCATTGAAACCGTAAGCCTTGATACAGAACCTGAATCTGAAGAAACACTGCATGAACAAAGCAGTCCAGTAAGTAACACTTTCTTTTCTGTAAAAGGTCTCCCCTCCTTGGATTGTAAGGACAGAATTTTCTATCATGTACATGCTGTTTTTCACAAAAACCTAGGGAGTTATATGAAGAAAACCTGCATAGGGATAAAATAAATTAAATTGCAACACCAAGCTTTTGAAAACTAGGAATAGTTTAATTTCTCTTTGCCAGTATGATATTAATTTGGTCTTTCACATCTGGCTGCAATAAAACTTGCATTATATAGGGATTATATGTTACTGGAGGCTTCCTTGAGAAAACAGTTTCTTAATATGATTTAAATATGGAATACTGATAATTGCTTAACACTACACATTACTGTAGAAGGTGTGCAGCCCCTCCTTTGGCTGAGTTTATTGAACTCAGTTGTTATTAGTTCCCTGTGCACATCTACTGAATTGCACGTGTGAGGAGGCTCGGGAAGAGAAGCATCCAACTCTGGCTTCTGGTAGAACCTAGAAAGGAGGCAGGTTCCTGCCTCTCCCTAATAATAGCCTTAGTAAACTTGTATGGCTTTATTAGATTTTATGCCTGAAGAAATATTAGGACATCTGTAAAGACATCTCTGGAGTTTTAGGTGCTTTCAGGAATAGGCAATGTAAACTACACCTTCCATTCTGCTTTTTTATGCACAGAAGCTTGAATTCCACATAATATCCAATCTATCATCATTTATCAAATACCAGACTGTTGCTGACGGGTTCTTTGTGTTTCCTCCTGCCTTTTGAGAGCAGGAATTTTAAACAGTGGAGTAACGTTTTTTCCTTACAGGCCACAGACTCCTCATCTAAAGCAAGTAGATGGGGAGCTTGGGGTACCTGGGGAAAGTCTCTCCTGTCATCAGCTTCTGCCACAGTAGGTAAGTGTTCAGTCAGTAAAGTGCATGGAAATAATTCATAGTTTTAATGTGTCATTAGACACATTAGTGTTGCATCTTAAGGTTTCATAGACAGTTTTGTCCTGATATGTTGGGAAGCATGATTTTATTAAATAGGAAGATGGACCTTCCTAAACTATTGAAGCACATAAATATTTCTTTAGGTCAAATCATGGACAAGGTGCTAGGCTTGATTGTACAGTTAGCGAATAACCTCATTGTGGCTTCTTCACAGAAAGGATCCATTATCTGATACAATTACTATCAGTCAAAGGCTTATGGTTTCTGAAGTCAAAGCACTGCAACCCAGATTCGTGCTCGTGCATGTTGGTGGTTTATACACCATGGCTTCTGCCTTAACAATATGAATTCACTCCTCATAAATCATTCCAGCTTTCATTGCCACCAGGTGAAACTGTTAAGCTGTCACACCAGACTTCAGAGAGTAGAACAACATATTGAAATATGGGCCCTAAACTCCCTCTCGTGTACTCTCATTTCCAATAGTATGTCAGTACAAAATGTCCCGGTGAAGACTTTAGGTAAAACTTAATCGTTGCTCATCGAAAACTCACAGCCAAAAAGCGAAGGACACAAATACGTAGTAAGCAGTGGGAAACAATTTCTCGCAAAACAGAAATGTTTTGTAACAAAAAAGCTGTTAGCTAGTCAGTTCTCATAATGGATCCACAAAATACCTTTAAAAGATGAATCTAGGAATGAAAATTGCTAGTTACTAAAAATAACGGGTTTAACAGAGATACTACTTTTATGATCCCATACAAGGCTAAATAATTCTCCTTATCTCCTCTGTTCCATGGACAGTAAATTGTTTCTATCTCTTTCTCGGAGGAGGAAAGTTTCCTTGTCCTCTCTTTTTTTTTCAGTTACATCCACAGTCAGGAGTACATAACTACCTTTTCTTTCACAGTCCAACCAATTAACATTTCTAATTAAATTCAGAGTGGGTTTCTAAGATATGTTTAGATTTGTAGAAATGAAGGTTGTTGCTGAAAGGAGCAGGCCTGCCCTGCCCCAGCAATGTATTTCTTCCTTGTCTTATGCTAACAGTAGCCCACATGTAATGATGGAGGAGCTGCTTTATGGGACTCATTTTGGAAAGTGCAGCTGAAGTAGGAGCTAGATCTTCGGCTGGATCAGTTTGTAAATTCCCCCATCTGGTTCACCATTTGATCCCCGAATGCTATTGAATGGGAAATGATGGGAACACACAGAACAGGCCAATGGGAACAAGGGCAGCTTAACTATCTGTGGAACTGCATAAGTGTTCTCAACTTGCATTTAACCTTAAAGTTTAGCATTTGTTTTCAGACTTGAAGAAGAGCTTCTGTGCCAAAAATGTTGCCTTTTTTTTTCCTCGGGCTGTTAAGTATAATAAAGGGTACTGCTTTCCCAGACTTCCAAAAAGCTTTGCCTCTTGCATTCTCAAACCACCATAAACAACAGCATTCTGAAAAGAATCTGGCTTAGTGTGATAACTAACAGTTGATCAGTTAGAATTGTGATGCTGCTGAATTTTGCAGTTAATTTTTATAGTTGAAGCAGTGGGTTTCTTGGAACAGAGCTCTTTCAGGCTATTTAGTTTTTGTCTGTGAAATAACCATGTTTACATTCTGCTTAGCTTTTGCAATAAATAGTATTCTATCAAATGGCCATTAAACAGCTATTTGTGAGCAATAAGATTATTTGTTACCAAACAGTTACTGTTGTTGTAGGCTTGCAGTGGCAATCTCACAGTCTTCTGTTGCTGAGAGGTTTTAGCCTCATGGAGCAATCAGTTTAGTGTCACCAAATGTATATATTTCCAGTGGGGCAGTACAGCCGTAGGTATTTTCTTGCCTGACTGACATGAGCTTGCGTGAAAATGATGAATGCTGTTGGAAAAAGTTTAGGAGACAAACAAGAATGTGTGTTTTAGCCCTTCTTAGTGTCTGATAAATCAACAAGACATATCTTTTTGCAGCCGTTTGTTGCTTTTGTCTATAAAACCTGCTTACAGAGTTGTATCTCTGTGGATTTCCATGGGCTTTTTAATGATGTGATCTCATTTTTATATAGGCCTTATAATGTCTTGGTTCATATACAGTAAAAATCCATGTTTAATTGATACTGGCTTCTTAACATATCATCTGACTGTATCAGCATCATAACTGTCTTCACAGAGTGTAAGTATGTGAACAAGTTTGTGTAGGCAGCCTGACTTGATAAGGTTGTGTGATGTCTATTTTGAGTAGGCATTTCGTCACCATGGATGTATATTTTTTAAATTATTATAGTCTAAAAATGAGCATAGTTGGAACAAATCAAGTTGCCTTGGAAAAGGAGCATCCACATGCAGAAAAGGAAAAGGAAAATTTAGTTTAAATTTTACATGAAAGTGGTTGTGCTATGTCCCACTGAAGACCCATCTACTATCTAGTTTCTGGCAGCGACCAAGAACAGCTGGGAAAGTACCTAAGACCAGATGTATGTAAAGCAGCAGTTCACCCTGTTTTCCCATTTCCTGGAATCTACAGTACAGACAGACTTCCTGAGCCTGAGATCGGGGTAGGGTTGAGTTCCCATGTTACTAGCTAATAATTTTGAATCTAACTTTGTGAATTTATTAAATAAAATAGACTTTGAATTAAGCAGAAATCAAATGTACTTTTTTCCATGTTCACTGAACCCAAGGTAACTTGAAAGACCACATAGATAATCTTAGATTTGTTCCAGGAAATCAATGTACCAGGTAATAGTTCATATTCCTGATATAGAGGGCTTATTTCCTAGTTATTTGTTATGGAAATTCATACTTGATCCTGTGAAGTACTTTTTGTCTCTCAGTGTCATAGACAGGATGTGGGACTGTGTAGACCACATATCTGCTTCAGTATGATAATTCCTAGTGAGACACAAAGAAAAAAAGTTGAAGCTATTGGGAATTTCTATAAGCTTTCTTCTTATTATTAAATATTGATTATTCCCCTTCAAGTTACTCCATTTAGTGTCTGAGCAGTTCAACTAATGTTTCATCTCCTATTCTTCATCAGAAAATAGTTTTGCAATGATCCAGTCCATTGTAAAGTTGCTTATTCCTTCAGTGTAGCAAGTGGTATAAGTAAAGCTACTTTCTTGGAGTTAAGACTTAGCAGCAACACCTTTGGTATGTGATTTTTGTGTTTCTCTGTCGTTATATTTGTACAACACAGCTCCCTGTCTGGTGAAGTATGACAAATACATACTATTCCTTATATTTTTCTTCAAAATTGTACTTTGTAAAAATACCAGAAACAGTTTGAGGTGGACTAAGTAACATTTTAAAGGTCTAACTGAATACATTCTGCTTTTAACAAATAGTATCATAGAAGAGCACAGATTGGAAGGGACCTTGAAAGATCTTCTAGTCTAGGGTTTTGCGGGAAAGGTTTTGTGCATCTAGATGAGATTATTAGCATACTGTCCAGTCACATCTTGAAAACCTCCAGCAATGGGAACTCTACCACATTCAGTCCCAGTGAGGTGTTCCAGTGAATGATTGTTCTTACTGTAAATAAATTTTCTTACATTGCTACCTATTTAAGACTGAGTTGAAATGGTTGCTCCACGGATCTCAGTTTCATTATCCTTCAAACCCTGATATAGAACTCACAAACACATTAGCATTTTTACTGCTTGGTTGTAATTTGTTTAGCATAACTCATTTTAGTTCCTAATAATAAGGCAGTTTCCACATAATTTGTATCTCATCCCTCTTTAACTAACCCTGCACATACACCCAGGGATTATTTTGGTGATAGCTATTCCAGAGAAAATGTCTGTTGTCTTTGAACTAATTTTGACATTATTTAGATCAAGGTCCCCACGACAAGGCAGTTGTGATACTCGTCTACACAACAGGGTCTGTAATGCCTTTGGATTAGTAGCAGTCACTGCCTAAACCATGTTTGAGGTCTGACACTAGATGTCACACTAAGCAAACTATTGAATTGGCTTCATCAATTAAGTGAAGCGATTTCTTTTGTTTTTAAAAGTACAAAAAATTTGAGGCTCCCCTTGTGGATCCACAATGGAGTAGAGACACTGAAATAGTTGCTAGAATGATGAAATGGGAGAAGTAGGTTCACTGTAATCTGGAGGCACAACTTGTCATACTAATTATCACCATTTTAGTCTCTTTCTTTTATATTGTATTTTTCAGTAAATCAGCCATTGCACCATTTTAGTTACAGGGTTGATAAAACTCCCCTCTAACAGTAGGTGACCATTGGAGCTAAGCCAGTTAATGGCTAGTAGCCACTGAAATGTGCAGTCCCACACCTGTCTTTTCCTTGCATTGTTTCCTTTTCTCCCTGTACCAGCACTCATGCTCCTCTGAGCTCCCTGTAATCCAGTTTGGGAAGCTAAACTGAGATAAGAATAACTCTAGAGGAAAGAAAAATTCATTTTCTGCCTCTTCAGTCCCTTGAACCTGAGATCAGTGTGAGGGCAAGCAGAAGGGACAAGTACAGAACATGGGAAGGAGCAGAACCTCCCATACCTGTACCAAGAGCCATTATGTTAGCTTAGCTGCAACACCAAACTTTTTATTCCCAGGGTTTATGTGAGGCAAAATACATTTTCAGTCTGTACTGGAAGCTTGTGACTTCCATTTTTAAAAGAACTTGTATGCTTGAAAGCTTGCCTGGTTGATTCTTCTTCCAACTAAGCTGTCTGCTAGCTTAATGAAAGTGACTACTTTCTCCTACAAGCCTTTGTCTTTCATATACAGTGTTGTTTTGGATGAGTTACAGCATCCATAAGGTGCTGAAGTTACAGTGCTCAAAAGCTACATTTCCAAGCAAAGTCTGTTCTCTGTCATACTGTATGCATGTGCTTCACTCCATGTAAGTTTAGGGTGTTTTACCTTTAGGGCCATGGCTAAGACTAATGTCTGTCAATACCTCTTACACAGTAAAAGTAGTAAAAAAAGTAACCCAGCTGTTTCATTCATGTGGTCTCTGAAATTCATAGTATAAAACTGCACCTCTCTCATGCAGTGTTTGCAATTAATGTTCTGCTATCATGATTATTTTGTTCTTGTATATATTCCTCATCTAGTTCCTTAGCTATCAGAATGACACATGAAAATATCAGACACCCATAGGTATGTATTTCCCTGGTATGCCAAAAACCATTTTTTGTCACTCGGTATGACAGAGTGAAATGTTACTTGAGATATCACTGTATTCATGAGCTTGGATATTATTTGGGTATGTGTAATAATCAGCATTGCATAGTTTAAGTTCACGTCTGTCTGGAATGGAATGCAAATGCTTCTGATAATGTGAAACTAAAGTATTCAAACATGGTGAATATCTTTTCCATTCTCTATAGATACTATTTCCCTGTGTGAAATAAAGTACAATATTAAAACAAAAAAAAGGCTGGGTGTTATGCTTGTACTTTATGCGATCATAAAAAGGATAGTTAATCTCTTCAGAAGACTTTTTTTATTTCATAAATTCAAGTGATTCAGGGAAAACTGCTTTGAGCCTGAAATCACATGGTGGTCACTCACCTGTTTTGTAAATAACACCTTACAGCTGCTGTAGCAGCAACCTTCTTTTTTACAGTTCTTCCTTTTTAAGAATTCAGAATGCAAGTAACAGGCAGGAGGAACTGTGGGCATGCTTTTGGGGTTTGCAGTCTTGTTTGCTGTCTTTATGTCTTTTGATATGGGCTTATAGTTTAGAAGAGACTGAGAACCAATAAATTGTTGTAACAGTCTTTATACCTATTGCTATTATTAAAACCTTTAACCATTGCAATAAGAAGATCCAAATCAAGTCTCATCTGTTAGCTTAATTGGAGATTTATAGATTAGATAGCATAGGTACTATCTGAATCTAGCCTGTGTTTTTGTTTTAACTACAAGGAAGAGAAATTTCTGCAGGCTTGAAGTGACTGGAGTGCCAATACAGTAGCCTAAAAGTGAGCACAATGGGGTCTGACTTTGTAGTGTACAAAACCCAAGCACAGCTGGCTTTTCTACATCTCTATACTTCATGTAGTGGAGTGATTCTCTTCCAGCCAGCTTCAGGTTCCTTAGTTTCACTGAGAAACTAAGCATCTGGTGAAAGATGCTGATTTAAGGCCTCAGTCTTCATCTTTAGCTTGAACGAGATGAAGCTTCACTCCTTTTACCAGACTAAATTTTGATGAGCTGTTCATCAGAAGGGCCCCCATGGTACAACACAGGTTACAAAGACTGTGTGGTAGCCAGGAACAAATATCTCAAACTCTTCCTCCCTATCTGCACCACTGAAGTAGGGATTCCAGTTGCCTGGGAGTACTAGATGGATGAGGGACAGAGATTCCTACAGAGGGCAGTTTAGATTTCAGACGTGCTGAACTGACCTCCAGAGGTGTCTGTTGGCCTCTTTCAGCTCTGCAGGGAATCCAAAGCTACTAAGCTGGGGGGTGGAAGATAAGAAAGCCTGCAGTGAAGTGGGATATGACTAAAGTGCTCGTGAGTGCTGTAATCTGGCCTTGAGCAGATCAGGCAAACCAAAAGGCAGGTCACATTGTTAGGCACTGCTTGCAAAACCTTCTCTTCAAATGAAAGATCCCAGCAAGCAACAGGAACAGTAATATTCTGTTGAGATTGCCAACCAATAGAAAGGCAAGGAATCATGGAGGCACGAGAAATAAAAGCAACAACACAAGGGAAAAAGCGTGCTTTCTTCCAAAAGCACCGGGTTAACAAAACCCATTTCTTAGCTCTTCTGTTACAGATGAGTAAATGGGGACGTCGGAGGTTTTCCTAAGTTTACAGTATCAGCTCAGTTGCGTTACCACACAGACTATAAGAAAACCAGTGCATTCTTATCTCTAAAATGTAGGCTTATCTCCCATGACCTCTTTTATTTGTGTGCCTTTTGAAATTACAAATAATAATTTTCGTTTCCAAAACAACATGTGCTTCTGCCATGTTTGTGCATGTGTATCTAACTGTTGCTTCAGTTGTGGTCTTCTGATCTCATCTGGTTTTGCTGTTGTAGTCAAATATATGTGCCATACAGCTCACTTCAGGAAAGCCACCTCTTGCTGACCTAGAATATTTTCTTAGCATTCTAGTGCATGTAACCACAGCCCCCAAAATGCTGCCTTTTTTAAGTCTGTAAATATCAATACAGCAAATGTGTGCCCTCTCTTCTTGGAAATATTAGTTTGTCTGCAAAACTATGAGAACCAATTGAAAGCTATTAAACATAAAAATTAAAAATGTTTAGATACAGAAAAAAAGAATGAGAAATTAATCTGAAAATCCGTAACTTTCACACAGAGTTGAAATTTTTGCTTGATGTTCATAGGGGCTTTTTATATAATTACAGGACCATAGTACTATGCTAGCAAGTCCAGTCAGTTAAGTCAATGGAAAGAACAGAACTCTCTTGCTCATTTAAAAAGCTGTGAGCAGAAGAAATGGAAAGGAATGTGACATGGAGTACCCATTACATTAGTTTAAAAGCACAATTAATAGTCATGTAAGTAAGATCTAGGAATTTGGGGATTAAATTAATTACACCAGAATCTATTCACGCTAATATTTTCATTGTACCCATCAAAATATGCAGGAGATTGGGATTAGACTAAGAAGTATGCTGCTGTCCAGTATCTGCATTGGAACAGACTTTGCAAAAGGCAAGCTTTCCAGTAATGACTTGAATCACTGTGGTGCATCACCTGGTATGTCCCATACAATTGGACGTACTACTGCAGCTTGTAAGCCATGAGATTAAATAGACAAAAGTCATTTGTTTTCTGTAGACAGGTAAAAGCATTTACCTGCCTAGGCTCCTTGTTTCAGTGTAAAACATCAGGACCTCGTGCAGCTTACAAATTCCTTGTTTCTGCTGGTTTGTTCCTTAGGGGATATCTGTTCTTTGTGTGTTCCTTCAGATACTCCAGTTTTCTTGTATGTGGTCTTTCAGTAGTGCTGTTTCACATATGTTTTCTAGAGTATATTTATTACTGAATTCATAGAGCACCTGATGTGCAAGCCATCTGGAAATCATAGAATCATAAATCTAAGCTTTCCTTTTTCCTACTCCATTTCAAATAGGTTTGCTGCATCTTTATTTTAATCAGATGTTCAAAAGCATATTTATATGACTACACATACACTTATATGTATATGTTTATTTAGAACACTGCAGAGCACTGGCAAGTGATAGGCTATTTTGTTGTAGTTAATATAACTCAGAAAAGATGCTTGGAACTTCTCTAATAGAATGCACACAGTTGTGGGAAAGTGTGGGCAACATTAATGAATCATTATGCTTAACTTTGTACCTCAGATGTCTAGATATTTGCCTGAGCATCTGTATTAATACCTTTTCTGCAATAATTTATCTATTTACAGTTCAATTTAACCAAAAAAGTATGAAATTGTCATTAACATTCTCATAAGTAGTTAGGCAAATAGCTAAAGCACTTTAGATTGTCCAGCTGCCAGAAGGTATTTCCTTTTGTGTTGGAAAGAAATATTGCTTGTCTGGTTTGTTGTTCACTTATTGCACCTCAGCTGATATGCAGAAACTACCAGCTAAGGAAGATGTACTAGCTGGATTGTTTGTAATGAGAGAAGCATATCATGGACATACTTGTGGACATATCCAGAAGCAAAATAGGCAGACAATTTTAGAGTAATCTTTTCTAAGGACAGCATTTTTCAACTATGCTTAGTGCAGCTTAAGAAGACATTGCCTCCCCTTGCTAACTACCAGTCAATCCACCCTATTCTAGAGCAGGATGTTACCAGTCCCTGTGATCTGCTAGTGTAAATAAACTCTGTGTAGAAAAGTAATCCTGTTCTGTCAAAAATATTCAGATAAAAATGGTAAAAACATTTATTCTTTATATTAAACTAGACCATTTTAATAGAGGGCTAGGGAGTCACTATGTATGCATCTGGTAAAGGTATCAAAATCTACATAGAAGATAAGCTTCCACAGGAACAAGAATTCTGTCTGTGTGAACTGACATCAGCAGGCTTTACAGAGTATGTTTAAATAGTAGCTTTGAGGGGAGATACTTTAGAATTTGATTTCAAATGAGCAACTGAGGAGCTAAATCCTGAAATAACTTTGAGGATTGGAGTCAGTATTCATAGAATACTTACCTGACATATAGCCCCTGTGCAGAAGACTGAAGAACAAGTTCCTTACCTCAGCTCTGCAGACACACACAGCTCATTACTTTTGAGTTAATTGTTCTAGAATTTTGAAAACCAGATGAGGTCAAACCCTATGGCCTCAGGAAGACCATCAATTTCTGTTTAAACTGATTGCAATAGAATATTTAGCATTTTGAAAAACGGGGATTCAGACTAACATGTGCCACTGAAACCAGTTTGACTTTTCAGAACCAGTGTAATTTGTATTATATTTCAGCTTTATCATTTCTATTCAGTTATTATACTGGATATAGTAGAACAAGTGAATTATTAACCTAGAAAAAATTAGGCAATTGAGGTAAGTTTAATAGTTATTTTGATTGTCAGAATTCATGGAGTATAAGAATACTGTGCACTGCTATTTATAAGTTTTCAGGTCATATAATTTAAAATCTGCCTCTGCCGCAGGTCATGGAATAACAGCAGTAAAGGAGAAAGCAGGAACTACTCTAAGAATTCATAGTGCAAGTTCAGCATCTTCAGAAGCAGCAGAACCTCCTACAGCTGAAACACCAATTACACGTAAGTTCAAGTTCACTGAAATTGAACAAAACTCTTTGACACTGCCAATTAGTTCAATGTACAAAATTTTAAGATTTTCATCACAGAATACATCTTACTGTAATTTGTGTCTTGCAGAGTCGAAAGTATGCTCGTAACCTGCTTTTTTTCCTCTTATTAGAAGCAGAAGATTCTCTGGACCAAAGCTCTTCTGAGAATATTCCTTCTTCTCCTACATCTGGATCTCGTGGGGTGCTGTCAGCTATCACTAATGCTGTACAGAACACAGTGAGTCATTTTAGCTGGCCTCTCTGCTCTAGTTATTTTTCATTATTTTTGGGTTCAACTTCACTGTAGATCACATTTTTTAAGTTATAGGTTTAGTAAAAACAGTTGTGTTGTAAGTCTGTTTTTAGTCTTTTCCATGACAAAATAGCTGTTAAATTAAACTATCAAATTAAAAAAAAAAAGTGAAGCACTGTAAATAACTTTTACAGTTAAGTCCTTCCAGAGAAACTGATTTGTTATAATTTTTGAAGGCTGATAAAATAAGAAAATAATCCATTTGCTTATTTTAAGGCTTTTGCTAAACTCTGTATTGTAAGTTCCTGACCTTTACCTTCACCTCTCTATCTAGTCTGTCATTTCATATAAGCCTTCCCAGAAGGAGGTCTGGTTGCAGAGTCAGTGAGGCAAAATAATTCTTTCCTATTACACTGTACTTGTATTTTGTGTTACACTTCATCCTTTTCTCTTTTTCTGTGTTTCAGCTTTTGCAAAGTCCTCTATCATACTGTTCCCCATCAATTTTTGTCTTACCTTCTTCCCTAAGATTTTTTACACACTATTACCATAGCAAATGTTTTCCTCTGAATTCTTCAGTATGGTGTTTTCCCTTGAAATTGTGAGAGACTTCAAACATGGGCTATAAAGGCATAGAAGACTAACTGTCCAAGGAGCATGTTTTACAAAAGGACAATTCTTTTTTTAGTGTATATCCAGTTCACTCTGAGTGCCTTGTCATTCTAATATCAAAGATTTTGGGGCCAGAAGGATATTCCTATAGATTATTCCTGAGACTTGCTACAGAACCTGGAGCTTGTGAGATCTAGACTCAAGTAAGATTACTTGAGCATTGTATAAGATTGCAAATAAGAGAAATGTGCTTGTAGGCAGCCTGGAGAGGCTACTGTACCACAGGGATGAATGTGGTACAAAAAGAATCACTTAAGGTCTCAGTAAGTCTCCTGTAATGCCATTTGAGGCTTTGGAAGGGTTTTAATTATATTAGGTTACATCAGCGTTTGAGTATCTGACAGACGCATAATCCAGATTGAAATGGAAACCTTTAGCCAGTGAAACTTCTTCAGTGCACATGAAAAATAGGAAGACACAAGAAAAACATATGTGTTTAAATTTTAAAAATCAGTTAAATGAAGCAAGGTTCATGATGGACTTGGTTCCATAATATTCGTATCTAAAATGCGTTCCCTCAAACTAGATGCCATTGGGTGAAATTTAAGTGATATTCATAAAATTGTAGAATGGTTTGAGTTGGAAGGGACTTTAAAGATCATCTAGTTCCAACCCCCTGCCATAGGCAGAGGCATCTTTCACTAGACCAGGTTGCTCAAAGTCTGATCAGCCTGGCCTTGAACACTTCCAGAGGTGAGGCATCCAGAACTTCTATTCCAGTGTCTCACTGCCCTCATAGTGAATAATTTCTTCCTGATATCCAATCTAAATCTACCCTTTTTCAATTTAAAGCCATTCTATCTTGCTCTGTCACCACTTGCCCTTGAAAAAAGTCCCTCTCAAGCCTTCCTATAAGTACTGTAAGACTGTTAGAAGGTCTCTTTGGAGCCTTCTCTTTTCCAGGCTGAACAACCCCAGTTCTCTCAGGCTGTCTTCTAGAAGGTCTCTTTGGAGCCTTCTCTTTTCCAGGCTGAACAGCCCCAGTTCTCTCAGGCTGTCTTCATAGGAGATGTCCTCCAGCCCTTTTGTGATATTATTGATAATTTTTTGTTTATTGGCAACAGTTGTTACATTTCCTCCAGTGTAAGTCTTCTAAATAACTAGAAATATCTGTATAGTTCCTTTTTTTTTCCTTTTGGAAAATATGTTCAGAACAAAGCAAATGTATCAATCCTATTGTTAGTTTAAGTATAGAAAATTTAGGGACCTGAACATTCAAAGACAATGTCAACAAAAGCACTGCTCTTAACAGTTCATATTAGCATAAAGTGGGAAGAAAATAACCACATTGCATTATTTTATACAGGGGAAAAGTGTATTATCCGGAGGCTTAGATGCTTTGGAATTTATTGGGAAGACAACCATGAATGTCCTTGCAGAAAGTGATCCTGGATTTAAGAGAACCAAAACACTGATGGCAAGAACAGTGTCGCTATCTCAGGTTGGATTTATTTAAATACTGCTCAGTCAATGCAATTTCAGATTCTTTTTCCAGAAGTTCAGATGCCTCAGGGAGAGGCTTTATTTATTGCAATAGATATTGGCTAGGTTTATGGAAATAAATATTATGCTTTGTATTTGCTCCACTTTATTTTTCTTCACAGAACCACAAAAGATAACGTAAAGTCACCTTTTCTGCATAATCACATGTGCAATAGCTGATTTAAATAAAATAGTATATGTGGTGATAAATCATTACACTCTGGAGACAAAATCAAATTGTTGGTGTTTTGGTAACAGCTGTAGACAGATATCTTCCAGCATAAACATAACTATACTACTTTCCTTGGAAATGAGTAATACTGGAATATGACATATGTTTAATTAGGAATTAACACTATGAAAAATTGTATCTTAGTGTCCATCTAAACAAATGGTACCCTTACGCAGTTGTGACTCATATATTTTAAAGTTCAGGGAAATTATAAAATCAGAAAAGAAGTATAAGTGCTGTCAGTACAAAATTATTTTACCTCTCCAGACATTGAGAGGAGGGGGGCTGTGAAAATCAATAGACATTGCAAAGAACCTTTAATTTTACTGCATGTTTACTTCCTTGTGGAGAGGAGCAAGGTATTTTTTTTAAGTATGAACAGACTGATATTGTTGTAGTAGGCCAAAAGCAATTAACTCTTGTCAAGGCCCACAAGGTTAAAACGAGCTTTTGAGAATGTCTTCTTAAACAACATGCATGAATTTGCACATAAAATCTGAGGCAGAATACAACATAAATCAGTCCTCATGGGTTGCACATGTAAGACGGTGCTTCCTTTGCAGTGATGTGTTCATTAAACTTTGTTAGTTATCTTTTGAAGGTGGAGACTTCAGGGGAAAAATCTACCATCATAAGTCTTTTGTAACAAATGAATCACTGAAGAGAATATTGTAGAAATTTCGAATGATGGAATAGTGTAAGTGATGGGAGTTCACCTGTATTCAGAGGCTTGTACGAGACTTAAGATCCAGTTCAGATGTATTTACCACCTTTACTGTAGTAAATTCATATGAGAGGCCATCTCCTCCTTGGAATAGAAGGAAGGAGTACAAGGTCATATTGGATACACTATTCTATCCCTCTTATACACTGAGAGAAGTGTGTAAGATCACTCCAAAATATCCCCAAGTATATAGACTGTAGTTCTGCCCCACCTTTGGTAGAAGTCATAACACATTCGCCCAGTCTCTTTTGTCAGTCCTGCTGTCACATAAAACTGACTTTAGTATTTGCTAAAAATATTTTAAAGGAAATATTTCTGTAGGTGCATTAGTTATGCAAGTAGGTGAGTAGGTCCTGAAAATAATATGCTTCAAATTTTGTGGTCTGTGGAATGGATTGCATGGCTCTTTAAGGCTGCATATGAAATAGTCCTTTTTATTTTTCTTTCATTATAATTGGTGGTTAAATTTATTGTACGTTATCCATAGCTGACATTGCTTTTGCGAATATAAACAAGATTATTTGTCTGTTCATTGTTTTTTTTTAAAGATGGTTAGCAATTACCCCACTTAGAATAATACTTAAATACTTTATTAGAGAAATTTATCAAAAAAGAAGTTAGCTATTTCATCTCTAAAATTTTAGTTCTGCAGGTGTGATATAGTCCCAAATTTTATTACTACTTCCTAGGCAAGCAGAAGCAGACTAATAAAATCTGTCACACTTACAGCAGTATCAATAAAACAACAGCAATGATGTATATTTTTACAGCTCTTGCGAGAAGCTAAAGAAAAAGAGAAACAGAGGCGGGCCCAGCAAGTTACAGTTGAAAGAACAGCACATTATGGACTACTTTTTGATGAATTCCAAGGTTTGTCTCATCTTGAAGCTCTGGAAATCCTGTCAAATGAAAGTGAAGCTCAGGTACAGTATGCAGACAGCATAAATCAATATGGTTGGTAAAAAAATTCATCTTTACATTAATTTCATTCTGCAAGTGCCTGTGGCATGAACAGTAAGTTTTCCATCATCTTCAGTGAAAGCTGAATTGGTCCCTTGGGCCAGCCCTGGGCTTTAGGAACTCAATCTCCATACAGCTAAAATTTAACTCCAAGATTAACTAAAAGCAAACAACTTCATAACTGAAAGTTATTTTTGTTAGAACCATAGGTAGTGTGTATTTTTCAGCTTGTGACACAATGCAGACATCTTCCAAATTACTTGCAGAATTTTCAAGGAGGTTGAAGTCTTTTGGGTTTGTATTAGGCACAAATACTTAGATTCAGAAATTCCAGACCTTCTACATCTGGAGACTGGTGAATTAAAATGAGTTCCAGATTACTTATTCTGTTCCTATTGTGTTAAAGTTACATAAAACTACACCAAGATACTATTACTGGAAGTGTACAAATGTCTCTCTGAAGAACATGGTAATGTTACTAAGGCCTATATGATAAATATATATTCTAATTTCATCTCTCAGTTCATTGACTCTGCTAGTAGATCAGAAGATCTCCAAGAGTAGACTAACAGAATTTTGTAGATTCCCAGCAGTGGTATTTTCATACTGAAAAAGTTTTCTGAATAAATTTGTTAAAAGCGAAGTGGGGGCTGAAGGTGGGGTTTTTTGGTTTGGTTTGGTTTGGTTGGTTGGTTTGTTTTTTGTAATTGGCATTCCTTGGCCTGTGGGGTACTTTTTAATAAAATGTAACTATTTTTTGTAATTATGTCTAAATGACAAATTATAAATTCAAACCCCACATGTAAGGTTGAAGGGACTGCTTTTGGGAAAAACAAACAATAACAACAAAAACAAAACAACCAAAACCCTCACCCACAAAACAGGAAAGAGATAGATAGAAACAAGTTTAGGTTAATTCCATGCAACAACACTATTTTTATTTTACTGTGAAATACCACAAGGTAAGTAAGACTTGCGCAGGATGTTTCCATGAGGTTTCTGATGCACATCATGTTGTGTCCTAGATAACCTTTTGTACATAGTCGTACTCACTACAACAGGATTGAGTATTGTGGATCAACAAGTTCAATTCCCTGATAAATCACAGAATCACAGAATGGGCTGAGTTGGAAGGGACCCACAAGGATCATCAAGTCCAACTCTTAGTTCTGCACAGGACCATCTCAAAGAGTCACACCATGTGCCCGAGAGTATTGTCCAAATGCTTCTTGAATTCTGTCAGGCTTGGGGCTGTGACCACTTCCCTGGAGAGCCTGTTCCAGTGCCCAACCACCCTCTGGGGGAAAAACCTTTTGCTAATATCCAGCCTAAACCTTGCCTGACACAACTTCAGGCCATTCCCTTGGGTCCTGTCACTGGTCACCACAGAGAAGAGATCAGTGCCTGCCCCTCCTCTTCCCTTCACAAGGGAGTTGTGACTGCAATGAGGTCTCCCCTCAGTCTCCTCTTCTCCAGGCTGAACAGACCAAGTGACCTCAGCTGCTCCTCATATGGCTTCCCATTCAGGCCCTTCACCATCTTTGTTGCCCTCCTTTGGACGCTGTCTAATAGCTTAATATCTTTTTTATATCATGGTGACCAAAACTGCACACAATATTCAAGGTGACGCCTCACTAGAGCAGAGCAGAGCGGGACAATGAGCTCGCTCAACTACATATATATGCACACATGCACAAAATATGTAACAGTACTGCAAGCTTGAGACCTCTTCTAACAGCCCAAAAGCCAAAGGAGGAGGGCAAGAGGGACTGAAGACATTGCTAATGTCCTATGTGCTTCTAATAGCAGGGATTAAACTATATGTTTAAGTTTTATTTTAAAAGTTTCCATGAAAAAAAGTTCCTGGTTAGCCCTTGAAATGGATAATGCTATAGAAAGGGAGAAAAAAAAGCCCTAAGTAAACCCTCACAACCTGAGTTGAGTCTCCTGGCTTTGTCTTGCATGTAACCTTGAGCACACAATCCAGACATGAGGACACATAAGTAAGAAAGTAACAGCTTTCTCCAGTCTCACAATGAGGCAATCTGTACATCTATCAAGATTTTAAAAAACCCCTTGAAACATAAAAGTAAAATTTTGTATCAAGAGGAGAAAAGGCTCCAAGCTTCTCTTGACTTCCATAGGCAGAGAGGGAACCCATGGGATTAACACCACATAACTGTAGTACAAACAGTGATTCAAAGAATCTGTTTCCATCCCTCTTAGGTGTGCCACTCTATTAGATATGCAGGGACTTGCATAGACATGCAAGAGACATGCAAAGACCTGTCCATACATTCTTCAGGACAGGTAGATTTTCAATAATTTTGGCTACGTTTTGAAGGAGGGGAAACAGGCTTCTTTTTCCAGCTCTTCCTGTGAGTGCTCAGACTAACCATTCTGCCTGTGCTCTTTTTGCCTGCTGTCTTCATCCAAGTAATCTCAAAATGCCTATTACAGTTTGCAATTAAACCATAGATTTGAAGCTCAAAACTCATGTTCTGGGGAAAGGTGGAGACTGATGATCTGGCAAGACTGGTGTAACTTTTGTGATACTCAACAAATTCTGTTGATGAGAACTAAAAATATATCTACACTGCAGGGTTAGAGACAAGATTTGAGCATAATGGGAGTTTCGATTTCTTAGCCTATTTTGGTATCAGATTCTAAATTAGCATTTAAGAAATACTCTGTTTTGGTTAGAAATACTGTCCTTTCTTTTACAGATTCAGGCACATTTAGCAACACTTGATGAAGAACAGTTGGAAACTGCAAAAAATGATTTAATTGCTATAAAAGAGATTTTTGTTCCAAAGGAATCAGATGATGAAGTGATGCAGGCACAAAAAGGTAATTAGAAATACAGAGACTTAACTATATGAATAATTGTTGCTTCTTTATCTAGTAATTAAAAAAATTACAAACCGAACTATAATTTCGATATCCTAATACTCTTCATAAGGTAGAGATTAAAATTAATACTCTAAAAGTTCTGGAAGTCGATCAATGCCTAATTTTGAATTTATATTGTATTTGAAGTGTGAGAGATAGGAAATAAAATATAAATAAATATCATATTACTTTGCTCTATCATCAATGAAAGCAAAAAAATAAGAGAAAATAGTAACTTCTCGGATAACTGAATTTTTCTCACAGAATCTGTTTGAAATTGTATTTTCTGAAAGTTTTGGAGTTTTTAAAAATTCTATTCTGTTCAGCAACTTGCTCCTCACTCTGCATCCTCCCTTGCTAGACTGGTAAAAGATTGGAGTGTAATCAAGAGACTTAAGAACCCTGAATTTTTTTGAATGGAAGCCACTTTGAAACATAGTGGCAAAACTGCTTTAAAGATATTGCTTCGCAAGACAGGGCATGTGGAGTGTGAGAAAGAAGTTAAAGTAGCACAAGTGTGCCATAACTGTGATATAGAGCAGAATTGAAGCGAATGGGTCCAGCATGACAGTCCATAGATCAGCTCACAAAAGTTACAATAAAATGGGTGGATGCTTTGGTTAGGGGCAAAACAGGTGTCTTAAACAGGTCAGGAATTTTAGTATTCCCCAGAACAGGTTAGAGCAGAAAGATAGTAAGTCAGATTAAAGCCGGCATGATTCATGTCTCCAGACCTGTGAGATCCATACCAAACCTCTTATAGCTAATAGAAACAATCCCCTTGACCTGACTGAAGACTGGTTGATGCCACTGAACACCATATTGTTGTGTTTTAGAAACACAGAAACATAAAAAGGGGGGTACATTGCCCATAAAACCTACATTTTGCAAGATGGTGAGATATGATTTCTCTGGTCTTCTGGAAAGTTAGGAAAACTGTTTTAACATCTGCATGTTCTAACGGGAAGGTCATTTCTGCTCAGAGTGCTCCTTGAGGCAGTGCTCACTCAGCTCGCCTGATCTCTCTCACGAGGAGCTCATTGTTTCTCATCGTGGGGGACAGAGAGTGTTTGGCGTAAAGTCTTAGTATGGTAGAGTTTTGTGCTGTTTTTTCCCCCCTTGTTAAACTTTAAAATCCCACATTCCTCTATGGCATTGTGCAAAACAGAAGTCAAGAAAGTGTATTACCTGCTTAGTGGTGAGGATTCATGAGATGTCTTTTGTTCCTTAACTTCTATTGGAAATAGTCCCTTGCTTTGAAACCAGCCCCAGGAGAAGCTCTGTTTCTTGCACCAAGTGATGCTTTCTCTGGAGGTCAGAAGTTCTGTTTTCTGAATAAAGCACAGCTGCTGATCATGCTCCTTGCATGGCCTTTTGAATGGGCTGGAACCAAGGCAATGAGCACCTTGGAAAAAAAGAGTGAAACCAAGTCAAAGTGTGCTGCAGGTTTTCCCCTGCAAAAGCAAACCACTCAGCAGTGAAACACATCCTCTTTGCTATGACAGTGGAAATAATAACCACACATGTTCTCTCCACCTTACAGCTGAATGGGTCTTACTTCAGGAAGCAGTTCAAAATTACTCACATCCTTTGGTGTGATCAGGCTCAAGATTTATTAGTATTTGAACTACAGATAAATTTCTGATTCCACTGGAGGAACCAAAAGAGTAGAAAGGTTAATCACTTCTCAAAGCAGCTTTCTGTTAGGGCTGAGCCTACAATTCTGTACACACCTTAATAGGTTTTATACTTACAAAATCAAGTAAGCCGTATGCTCTTTTATAGTGTATTTCTTACACAGAATTATATATTTTTACTTAAGCTAGCTAATATAGCAAGACATAGCAGGGTATGTTAAATTCTGTGGAGGAATTTTGATCTTAATTCTGCTTGCTAAACAGGTTAAAACTACAACTAAGTTGCCTTCAGTAAGATTTTGATTTGTGCTTCCTAGTGCAATAAAGCATGTGTTTTTTTCCTTTATGTAAGGAAGACAGCCTCCTAAAAAAGACAGAGATTAACTGGTGGTGTTTGAAAATCTTATCTAGCCACTGAGCAGTATTTGAAAACAAGCTAATTACCATTTATTGCTAATTTGCTATCATTTTATTGGCATCCGAGTCATGTTGTTTATGTGGTGTTATTTGTCAGTGCTATATATATTCAGAAAAAAAAAAAGATTAGATGGGAGAGAAACCAGTACTTTGCATTCAAGTGTTTGAAAAGGGTGACAGTTTGTTTTATGCAAATTCTCAGGATCCCTTCTTATCCTAGACTGTCAGAATCTGAATGAGATTCTGATGTTAGTGCTGCTTTATTTTCTACCATAAAACTTTTAGTCCTACACAAGGAGAAATTACTGCAGTGACCTTTGGAGGGCTGTTTCAGGAAAGGATTTGGGCTAGGCTTTGTTCTTGGCGACTTTGAAATCATAGTATTTTTTTGTGCCTTTGCTCAGATAGGTGTAAAATTGATATGAAAAAAAAAGCCAAAGAACACAAGTAGCAGAAAGCCACATGCATACCCTTCTCTCTAATATTTCCTCTCACTTTGATTATGCACACCTTTCATGTATTTTTCACTGCAGCTTCTTTTCGTTTCAGTTGTTTATGAAATAATAAGAGGAGAATATCTGAAAAAGTAGCTTTACCTACATTTTGAAAGCCATTACACCAAAAATTTCATATGTGAGGTTAAGGGAGACGGTAACCAAAGTGAGTATTCAATTGAATATCCCAGCTATCAACATTTCTGGTAATTTTGCATTGATGCAATGAAGCACTTATCAGTTTTCAGCATGCTACCATTCATAAAACAATTTGGTATTGTTTTATGTGAGTACAGTGTATCCAAGAGGTACTGTATTGCAAAGCCTGAAAATCCTATTGCCAAAATTTACTGATAAGGGCAGGAATGAAAATAACTCCATGCATCTCTTTGGCCTGCCAGACAACCAATTTCTTCACGTGTTCCCCTGCTGTTAAGACAAAAGCTCAGTCTCTTGGTCGTTGCAGGTGAAGAATTCTTTCTGCTAAGTACTAACTTACTTTATAGCACCAAAAATGAGCACTCTCTTTACAAGCAAGGGTGAGATGTCCTTCCCTCTAGGAGAGTATAATCTGAGTATCAGATTTTACCACCTTTCCATATGTTGCAAGGTACTGTAAATAGTTCTACCAAAATCCCCAAACTCATTGGAAAGTAATGGCTCTCTGCTTTTAAGCCCAGTGCTGAAGATCTGCATAAAACTGGAAAATCTGGCCTACCTAAGGAATGAGCAAAAGAAATGGGAATACAGCAAGACATGAAATTCATTTTTGAAGTAGCTGGACTTTTATCAACCTCAGTATGGGGACTCTGACCTTTTAGTGTCATCAGGCTAAAAAACTGGATTTTGGGTAATCCAGCATGAAATCTTAATGTAGATTCCAAACGCAGTAAGTGCAGATGAACAGAACCAACCAAAATACTAACTTTCAGGAACTTAGAATATGTTAGAATATGTCATCTGCAAGTATCCAAAGGAGTATATGTAATAAAGATGAAGTTCAAATACTATCAATACTTACCTTTGCTCTTAACTTGTTAAATAAATGTGCAGATTCTTTGAGGCATGTCACTCCAAAGCAAACCAGAAAACATTCTTCATTTAGGCAAATCTCAACCTTAAAATTGAAATAAAACACACCTCTTAGCTGTGGTTTGCAGACAGAGCAATAGAGAGCATGTATGAATAGTCTGAGAGAACAGTATATTTCTTCTGAAACTTACTCATATCTGGCTGTGCTGCAGTTTTTGTTCCTTGGTTTGAAAGAATAGGTTAGTATCTCTTCTTTGGTTATTTTGTGGGTCAGGGATTTTTTGTCATATAACATGGGATCATGCCATTTCTTGCCCTCTTACCTGTTTTTGTCCCCAAATCTTCGTTCTTGAAGTCTAGCCATGATGAGCTGTTTTTATGAAACTTAGTGGAATTTAGAATGTGGTAGAAAGAGCAGTTGAAGTGTCAAGCTGGCATATCTGGTTGTACAGGTATCCCTGTTCCTTGTTCTCTTCTTTATTTGAGCATATACATCCCACACACACACATCCCTTTCTGGTGTCACTGTCATTGTTTTTGAAGCATTGGAATGCTTGGGGAAACGATTTGACTGGATGAATTTTATCATATAAAATATTATAGCAGTAACACCATGACAAAAATTGTCTTGTTTTTTCTTGCAGCAGATATGGGAGAAGAGTTTGTCAGCATGCTCACGGAACTGCTGTTTGAATTGCACGTTGCTGCTACTCCTGACAAACTTAATAAGGTAAGCACCTGTTAGTGAGCTGCCTTTGGTTTCTTGGATAAAGAAGGAGGGCTTTGTTCTGAAATCTGACACAGAGCAGTACCTAGCTCAGTTCAGGCAGCTCAGAAAGCAAAGTGAAGGAGAGAGAGACTAAAATGCTGAATATAGAAAAGCGTTCGTGGAAGAAGTGAGGTGAGTAAGGCAATGGACTTGGACAACTAACTAGCACTTTTTAGTGTTAGAAAACCTTGAACCAGGGGTGTCTCAGCAGAGCAGCGCTCACGAGCACGGCAGATTTGGTCTTAACATACTGGGAAGAAAGCTCAGGTTCAAAATCATTTTTCTTGCTCCTCACATTTATTCTTCTGAGGGACTTCTTCAGACCTTCCTAGCTAGAAGCAAAGTCTTAGATTTATCTCATGGTACTTCAATCATCTAAAAGTTAGATGTCTAGAAGCTAGTCATGACTAGTCACATCTGTACTATCAGTTCCTTTAAAGCTGATTAATCTGCTGATCTTAGGCTCAAATGAATGTTTATGTCTCTAGCTACATAAATAGGCTATGAATAACTAACTTAGGCTTAGATCTTAACGTATTTTCATTTGACTTCATGTTAAAAAAGTGACATCATAAATTTCCTACTAAGCATAACAGTAGTCTGAAGTTGTATAAAACTTCAAGACTCTTCAGCTTTGATCTACTTTCATGGCTGGGAAGGCAGCTCAAGATATAGTGATTTTCTGTTTATTTTTCCTTTAAGAATTTAGTACATCTTCCTTACATCTCCAATTTTTTTTCCTTTTTTTATATCCACTTCTTATTTTTTCATTTGGGAAAACAACTATTTAAGAAAAATTTCCATGTAAATTTGCTTAAATGATACCTAATAAAGCTGAAATATTATTAACTTTGGTATTAATGCCAACTCCCTGTATTTGTTAGGAATATCATTCCTTTAGAGGAATTATCCATGGATGATCCATCTTTATGCAGTCAAAATAGTTCTTCCTACAGTTTCTTAAGTATACACTTAACTAAATATCACACAGAGGCTTAATATATTCAGTCTTTACACTCAATCTTTTCGAGTGTAAAAAGGAAGTAATTAAAGGTATTGTTAATTGATGTTCAGGAACGTCATCTGATATTCTCTGTTCTAATTGAACTTTTGGGGTTGGGTTCTTTGTTTGACAGGCTAGGAAAAAAGCTCATGAATGGCTGGAAGAAGCCAGTTTTTCCACCCCAGCAGACATAGAAGAGAAGCTAAAAGAAGAACCTGGGGAACCTGGTGAAGAAAAAACTGACGAAGATGATAAAATTGACAGTGATAAAACAAAAGTAAACAAAAACAAAACTGTGGAGGTAAAATAACTTTTGGAGGAGAAGTTTCATTAGGAAGATGGTTGTACTTTGTTTGATAAGATTACTTCTTTATCTTTGTGTGTTGGCTTTACATGTCCTTATTTTTTAAACTCATGGAAGTAGTAAGAAATAATAATATACAGCTATTCAATATAGACCCAATAGGGGACTAACTTATATAAATATTCTTACTGTTATTCTGTTTCCATAACTAAATATCAAAGTAGCAGGTCCTCTGACTATCACATTGTTTTTATTGTTTTATATCTGTGTTTTTGTGTGTATGCTTGTGTATACACAACATAGATTGAGCTGAGGGATTCCGTGGTGTAATGTCAATAGCACATTGAAAGTCATATGGCAACATTCCTTAGTATCTCTTTATCCCAGTGACAATACGTGGGGAAAATGTTCGAACTTTATTTGAAGTCTTGAACAGTTTAAATCACAAACAGACAAAACAGAAATATTATTTAGGCAACTCACAAATGTTTATTCTCTTTATGAAAGACAGCTCTTAGGGCTGAAAGTATTGTGTTCGTTTAGATAGTCCTGATAAGGTTAATTGTGATTGAATATTTTCTGTCAGGCTATGGCAATAATAAATGTGGTTGGTATCTTTGTCAAGATTTTAGATAATTCTAATAAGAAATTATTTGTAATGTTTCCTTACAAAAAGGTCTAAGAAGGAGACAGAAAATATATACACTGTATGTATGACAGATTTTTATGTGATTACATATTTCCAACTGGCATCAGCTTGTGGAATTTGTAACTCCGTAGTGCTAGATAGAGATTTTCATCATTGCTGATAAAAGCCATTTTTCATTTTGCATATTATTCATTTCTTCTCTGGAGATTCAGCTGAGAGACAACTCATTACTTTTGGCTCCATAGGAAAATACTTATTACTTATTCTAGAGTTTAGGGATCTTTCTGTTTGTTAGGACTAGGTTTAACACCCTGACCTAGTTCCCAGCCAAATCAATGATAGACTTGTTCTTACTAATTTTTCAGGACAAGTATAACATCTGTATTTTATGATCTGTGAATATTTCATTTTCCAGTGTTCTTTGCGAAGATGACATTTTGGCTGATATTGTTTCATTATGTGTGTGGTGATATTTCCAACTGGGGAAGGAAGGGCTCCTATGCTTGAAATGATTTTGTCCATGTATGTCTATAAGTACATTCATCAATGTTATTATTATTGATTATATTATTCCCATTTTTAATTTAAGGAAATCTACATGCTGTCCATTGAAAGTCTGGCTGAGGTAACTGCTCGTTGTATTGAACAGCTTCATAAAGTAGCAGAATTAATTCTACATGGTCAGGAAGTAGAAAAGACGGCTCAAGATCAAGCAAAAGTACTGACAAAGTGAGTATTATGTACTTCATATATGAACATTTTGACATTTGCTTAAAACTCATGAAGTTCTGTTCAGATTTTGGCACTTCAAGTCACAGTAAGTTCATGGGTCAACAAACAGCATTGGCTTTAGGGGTCCTGGTGCTATATTTTCTCATGAAATCGTGTTCTATAGGCTACCTGTCACTTTTTGACATGGCTGACATATGTATGTTTACAAAAACATGACCTATTTACAGGTTAAAAGTTGTTTCTGCTCCAGGAGGCAAATGTACGTGCTAATTTTTGTTGCATTTCCTGTTCCATCTGCAGAAGATACTGTGCCTGCGTATATGGAATCTGCTTTTAGAGTGCATAATGCAGTCTTATTATCTGCCAATACAGTTTCATTATCTAGTGTTCATTTGCCAAAAATATACAAAAATCAATCTGTAATTGTAAACAATAAGACCACATTTGTCACCAACTTTGTAGTTAACCATAGTGAAACTTCCATGAATTCAAGCACCCAGTCTGTCTAGTGGGACTCAAAATTCAAATCTCAGGCTCTCTGTGGGTATCAATTCTACTGATTTCAGTGGATTTTGACATTAAGATATTTTAAACGGTTGAGTCCTAGGAAAGTAAAGGATTTAACCAAGTACTTATCCTTAGGAATGCTATTAAGAATAGCAAAGTCCATAGGAACACTTCAGTCTGAAAAAAAAAACTTGTTCAAGTATTTTTCAGAATTAGAGCTGAGGTATGGTGCGCCTTGCAGGATGAGACTCCATGGGATGCACTTGTGAATTCTTAGGAAAACAAGGAATGATCTCAGAATGGAACTAGATCTTTTTGTTTTCTCGTATTTTAACCACAAGTGTACTTCCCCTTTTAGCACAGAGTACATGTTTTATTGGTCATATAGGAAACTTCTCACTATTGTCATTCAAGTTTATTTCCAACAGTATTCCTAGGAGTTGTGTTGCTGCAATCATCAGAAAAAACATTAGTTAAACTAGAAGCCTAGAATTTAAAAAGTTGAAACATTGCACTATCAAAAAAGACTAGTATGCGAAACAACACAACATCATTTTGCTGCTGTAGTCAGCAGTGGATTTTTCAGTGGAGGAATATAAAAACTCTATCATGAACAAAGTTGATCCCTAAATATTTTAAAAATTACTAGAAGCAAAATTGCTTTAAGAACATCTTGGCTTCTAAGATGAAGTTTTGCCTGGGGCAGTCAGAGGGTTTTTATCCATTAACAGGTCAAGGATGTATTTTTATATTTGTCTCTCCTGTTTTTATTTAACCAGTTTAACAAGTGCCATGTGCAATGAAGTTTCATCTTTATCAAAGAAGTTTTCTGATTCTGTAACAGCAGCTGGGGTAAGATCATAGCATTTTCTGTAGCATTTGTGCTCTTTTTAACATAGTTCCCCTCCTGAAACAGAAATTCTTGCCTGAGTCCAGTGGCTTTATATGCAGCATCAGCAAAGAGACCACTTCTTTCCTCAGATCAAGAACATGGAGCATTTTTGCAGCAGAGAAAGTTTATAAGCAATGTGTCCCCTGCCTTCTAAAATCTTTCTTTCTAGACACCATTCTTCGTATTCCTGATCACCGCTCAACACTTTATGTCTTCTCGCATGGAAGGGCCCCACAGCTTGATGATACTTTCTTCTCCAGCTCGGCTTATTGCTTTTAAAGGCATTTGTGTAAAAGTCATTAACAGATCATACTTGCAATACCTTAAGATGGTTTCACGAGCTGTCTTCTTAGCATTTCCTAAATCCCCTGGCTTAGTACCACTATATTTTCAAAAAGTTTAAGAGAATACAAAATCTGTTTGGTCATCCATCTCAAAAAAACACTCTATCTCAAGATATTCCATTTAGAAACATCCTTTTGTCTGTGAACATCTTTGCTAGAAATAGTACCCTGCCTTTCAAGGTGTTTCAAAGATGACTGACATCTGAGTATTATAGCAGGATTCAGAGGTAAAAATTGGGCTGTTGCTGAAATTGTCCTGTAAACATCAGAGAAGAATAAATTCTGGTTCTCCTGATTGCTCCTTGAAAACATGAACGTACATCAAAGGAAATATTCCCCAGTTCTCCCGTGAACTCTTCCAGCACGTCTTTGAGCAAGTTTTTTTAGACTTATTTGTGAAGAACATGATTTATTGAGTTGCTTTTATTCTGAATAATTTACATTCCTTCCCATTACTCTAGGACATGAAATGCTTATTTTGCATTTTGGTACTGTATTTTAGCATATCTTTGTGGGACACTTGCAATAAATACATGCACAAATATATAAAAATAAATTGCACGTGAAATATTAAACTAGCTCAGCTTAGAATGGAAACTAAAGCTTTTGTAAGCATTGCTCTACATTTTGTTCTTATCAATTCTGTACTCGGTTTTTAGGACCAGATTGCTTCTATGGAGATTTGTGTGAACAGATAAGAAATGGAGCTCAAAGACACTTCTTACTGCCAAAATACTATGGGAGAGAGCTATAGTAGGGCAGTCTGGTGATCTTTCTGTGCTGTGCCATCTCTGTAAACTCTTGGAGGAAGATGTGGGGCCTTTTGCTCACCAGGATCAGTAGGAAAGCAAGGAGCACCTGTCACACAGGGCTGTAGAGAATCTACATCTTCCTGCATATCCCAGTGGTTCAGCGTCCTCCTTAACCTGCCAACAGTACCCGGGTTTGCAAACACATTCCAGTATCCTGCGAAATCCATTAGCTTGTGGGAAACTGAGAAATGGCTTAGAACAGAAAATGATGGCTTTTTCAAACAAAATGCCACCCCTATAGTTATATCTGTATAATTCAGACATTAGTTGTAGTGCTGGCTGTACACATAGCCTATAATGCTGGCAATGTTTCTGAGGGAGCAGTAAAGCAGAAGTAAGAATCACAGAATCATAGAATATGTTGAGTTGGAAGCAACCCATCAGGATCATTGAGTCCACCTCCTGGCCCTGTGCAGGACATTCCAAGAATCACACCATAAGCTTTGCTTGCCACTCAGTATTTCTTTCAAACTTAAACTTGATTCATACAACCAATAATATTAAATTGATACTGCTCTCTATCTTTTTCAGTTTATTGACAATCAACTAAACAGTGCAGTTCGTAATGGATTTTCTAGTAACTGACAGTAAAAATGCCCTTCTTTTCTCTAACCGTCTTCCCTTTGGTCTGCCATCTTTCTCCAAACTACAATTAAGGTGTTTCATGTTTTCTATAAATGTGTAATATGAAAGCTATAAGGTTGTAAGTGGAAATCCTTCAGTTAAATTAATCAGTATTGTGTTCAGTGTTGAAAGAAAGCAACTCTTGCAGAAGGTTACTGTCATTCTGAAAAACCATAATGCAAAGAACAGTGAGAATAAAAAAGAGAAGAACTTCTGACATTTTAAAAAGCAAAGGAGCTAATGAATTTTGATTTTCTAGCCTCTAGTAGTGTCACTTCTCATTGTATCCATCTTTATTCCTATCTGGTAGTTGACAAAAGTGCCATGCATGCTGATATGTTTCACCAGCCACCCTGCACTGTCCAGCACAACATACACCGCCTCCAGTTTGGGGTCTGAGTGTCACTTGGTTTTTCTTCTGCAGGGGAGTTAATCTGGGCATTTCATTTCCTCCTAACCACAGATACTCGTGTAACTTCTAAGAACTTCATTTTCCTTCTGACCTGTATTTTTCCTTCTTGTGTCCTTGAAAATGAACAAGGGGTTAAAAATTTTGTGGGAGATGAGAAGGATGCTGATACAGAGACGATAATGTTATTGTCTCACATCCATAGGAAAGTAGGCAATTTGAAACTCTGTGGTACATGAATTAGTGAAGAAATAAAACCCTGGAGCTGTCTTAGTTCATTGTACTCTGTGATAGAAATATGAAGTGAATATACTGAAGTGTGTATGAAATGTAGAAACATTTACCGTGAATACTGAGATAAACAGTATGAATAAGAATCAAGGTGAAGCAAGACCTTTATAAAATTCATAAAACCACTTCTCAAATATGAGTATATTTCTGTTAAATGTGTTTCTTGTCCTGGCATTTCATTCTATTTTCTGGTTTACAGAGCAGTATGAAGGCAGAGGTTCTTAACCCCATCATCAACAATGTGCTATTAGAGGTAAGCTTCACATCTCCTATTACAAAATGCTCTAGTAAAATTATTTGAAATGAGACAGGCACATCTACGTCTGAAGGAAAAACTATTTAAAAAGTAATGACAATATCATTCTGGCTCTTCAATGCCTGCTCATAAACCTCCCAGTTTTGTGCTCAGCCTCTCCCACAGACACTATAGTGGTAATGTTGCATTTACTGAGGATTCTTAAGAGCTATATGACTGAAGTGTGGCTGGCCAGCTCTGAAACTCTGCTGGTGTATTGGTCAGAGCACAGCAGACAAGTTGCAATATGCTGTTTAGAACCTTTGCTAACCTATTCACAAGTTGCCTGAGATAAATCTATCCTTACTGTTCCGTTACCTACTTCAAATATTGCAAAGTACTTCTGATGCACAGATAGTTTCAGACTATTCTTTACTTTCAAATTTGCATTGTAGGTGTCCTACGGTGCTTCCCATCCACAGGCATTTAGATTTCTTCAAAGATTCACAGTCTAGCAGCAGGCTTGGTCAGCACATGGATAACCATGTGTCAGACAACCAAAATGTTCATGAGTGATTTCTTTTATTAGACACCACTATTTGTCTTCAGAAAAGCACAGTGAGTAAAATGTACCTCAGTTTTACTGAGAAGAGGTCAAGAGGAAGTAATATCCTCATAAAGTCCTAAAATGTATACTATCTGCAGCATGAGTTTTTAACTGTGTTAATTAGATCACACTTCTCTCAAAACATAAATGAACATATAGTAGTGACCACAAATGGTCATTCTGTATCTAAAAGCTGCATTCCCTTAAAAATTAGGAGAAGGTTATTTTGCAATAGGCAATTTTGCACTGAATTAACAATACCTTTAAGGAAAATTATAGAAATTTGAATAGAGCTGTAGTAAAGACTACTACGTGGTTCCTTTTGTTGTAGGGTAAATTTGCTGTTGCAGCTGACTTACCTTCCTGTGCTCCAGGAGCTGCAAAATCTGGGAACGTCTGGAATTGTGGAATAAAATGTTTTGTACTTCTTAAATCCCATATTTGTATACAACTATGTATTAGTACAGCCCAGGATCATGGAGAATTAAAAGCTATTACACTGTTCAGTATAAGAAATTCCAAAAATAGTACTACATGTTAAAACCATTATAATAATTTGATCTGTTAATTTCAGTGACACTTCTTCCACCTACAGCAATTCAAAATTAGTTGAATTGATGAAAAGACTAGCTGTATTTAAAAAGTCAAATCTACTTCTGAACACTGTGACATTTTGTTCTACTCACATTACCAGCAAAACTGTCCAAGAGTTCAAACTGAGGGGAAATCAGATTTTTGTGGAGTGATTCAGGCTGTCATTGTTAGCTGTAAACTGTTGTAATTTATTGTCTTTCTTATCTACAAGAAAAGATTTATTTCTTTATTCTAAAATCTTGTGTGAATACATATGCTAATGTAGCAGGATGCAGATGTTAAGAAAAAAAAAGAAAAGAAGTACAGTGTAATTCCTGAAGTACATGACAGCTGTACTGAACCACATTTTCTCTCCCCATTAGGGCTGCAACAGTACTACTTACATTCAGGATGCTTTCCAGCTATTGCTTCCAGTTCTGCAAATTTCCCACATCCAGACCAGTTGTTTGAAAGCCCAGAAGTGACAGTTTCCCGAAAGTTGTCACCATTGGGCTTGACAGCAACCCCAGTCCCAATGTCTGTAATGTTTGCTGAGAGAAGAGCTGGTACAAGAGGTGTCTGGCCACTTGGAGTCCTTCAAAGACACTACATGCGGTTTTGCACATACAGTATGGAACAACGTTTTCAAACTCTTTCAGACTTTCAGACTTTAGAAGTAGTTAGTAAAGTGAGTAATTTCTTTTCCAGTACAGTTTATGCTTTGCATTAATTTAAACAGAAGTTTACTGATATTAGCATTGACTTAAATATGGATTCTAAATGTTGACACTTTCAGTTGTAAACAAGGGATGAAGCAAATTAGAATGTAAAGCTTTTTAAAACATTTCAGCTCAAATGACCATTTATATTGTTTATATCCTATCAGTTAAAAATGTGTATTTCAAAAGTTGGTTTCAGTATTTAAACATGAACAAATTATCATAGTGTTGTGCCTGTTAAATATTATTTCCAGTAGCAAATAATAACATCATATTAATATGCACCACTAACATAACACTTTGTATTCAAAGACTTGTAGAGCAATAGGTATTAACTTTACTAAATGAAAATTATGGAGGATATGCATAAAGGATTATGCTGAAAAGAAGTTTTCTGAGCCAGTTAAGAGTACGGGTAAAGTTTTATATTTGCTGAACGATAATTTTATATTCATTTATGTCTATTTCTTCATTCCAATGGCTAAACAACACAGCAGGCCAAAGTAATCTTTTTAATATGCAAGGAATAGAAAATTTCTCATTTGTTTGGCAATTGAAACACCCCGTAAGTAATCTTCTCTCAGATGCGTTACCAGGGTTACATGTGTTACTTTGGGGTTTAATTTGGCCTTTAAACATTATGAACCTTTTTCTCAAATGATACCAACAGTTCAGAAATAGAAAAGAAGTTGTAATAAGAAGTTATGAGATGATTGCTCTGGGTGGGGAGGTCAATATGCCACAGCAAATCACCTTTTTCCAAGGCAGTAGCGAGACAGGACATAAATGAGCAACAGGAATGACATTTCATAACAACACCAGCAACCATACTAATTTGTCTGTATCCTTAGCTTAAAATCCTGAGCTGTGGATTTAAGAATTTGTTTAGGCCAATTTACCTCATAGACAGGAGGAACCTTCTAATATTTTACATTGCCTGTTCTCCCGGATTTTCATTGTTTATTATGTTTCTTTCAGCTATTTGGTATTTTTTTTTCTTGATACACTCATTAATTTTATTTAAATGCTAATTTTTAATTACACTTAACATCTGAATATATTTAATCATAGAACATAGTTCATGCATAAAAAAGAAAATTAAATAGAGCATGAGGAAGTTTCTATGTTTAATAGAAAAGACAAACCATGTATCTACTTTGCACATGATATCTTTTTTGAGTCCAAGTAAGAGAGGGCAGAAAGGTCTGTTTGTGTTGTACACTAGAGTGGTCCATGTTCTGCTGTCACATTCACTGTGACTTCTCCATCTTTTGTTATTTAGAGATTAAATTTTCACTATCCCTGAAATAAGATTTATTACATAAAACCTATTTTCTGCCACCTTGTCATTTAACAGGTGTGAGATATCTTTCTGGGTTAGTAGAAGATGTACAGTCTTCAAATCCACTTGCACAGAACGTAAATAAAACCTTACAGCAATGTGAATAAGAAAGCCCCTTGACAGCTGAAAAGGCGAACAAAGGTTGACATTTATTGGTATTTATGCCATATTGAACAGCTAACATTACCTCAACATGGGAGAAAGTGGGACACAGAAAAATGCAACCAGAAAGCAGACTCACTAGCCCAAAGGTAGGATACAGCTCCCACCAACTGTTTAGATCCACTGCACTTCTTTCTGGCATTCCTTTATTTCTGAAAACATGATTTCAAAATTTATTACAAAATGACATTTAGTTGATGCAAAACGTTTAATCCCTGTCTTCTACACTTTGAGGGAAATAGGCATACTCTTGTCTAGTAGTTTTGCCTGGCTGCTGGAAGAGACACACACTTGTACTTACTTGACCAGGAATCATGCTTGTACACACACCTTGACCCAGAACGGCTTCTCGGTGCGGATTCCTGAGGACCATGTACTTGCTCCATGTACTTTATTGTGAGCAGTTTTCAGTTTTAAAGATCTAGAGACTGCTGAAAGCATTCCGTAGCTTGTAAGAAGGCCTGTTTGTTTTTCTGTTTTTCTATGCTGGCAAGCAGAATATAATACCTCGTTAAAAACTTGTTTATTTTTCAAACAGACTGTCCAGAAGGGTCTGGTGTTTTTACATATCAGTCATTACATCCTGGATTTATCTTTACTTTCATTTGTTCATTATTTTTCATCAGAAAGCTTTTCTGCCCATGTTGGAGTAGAGCTCTCCATCAGGTATCTGTGAACATCGTATTACTGCCTGATGAGTCATGGAACAGTTTCATGTTGTTCCTTTGCCAAATTAGTGTTTTCAGGTACAAATTAATTTAGTTACTTTTTGATACAGATCTTTTTTTCTCTGAAATGCAGTGCAGAATATATAGTGTTAAACCTGTCAGAAAAGTGCGTTGACTAACAGTGGTGCCTTTAAGCAGAGGCTAAACAATATAATATCAGAAGCTTCAGGGGATAATGTTTGAAATCACTGAGGAGCATTCTTAAGACAAAGATTGCTTGTCTCAGATATTCCTTACTAGAAGTTTCACTGTCTTGCTTAAATTATGCATGTATGAAGTACCTTACCCTAAAGTAAAAGAAGCTATAAAAAGTAACTTATTTACATCCATGCAATGTAGGAAGGGAAATAGGACAAAATACGAGCATAAGGATACTCACATCTGATCATAGATGCAGTCATCTTGTCCTAGGAAAACTGAATGTTTTATCTTTAAATCAGTTTTAGGTAAATAATATTTCAGTAGAAAAGTACTATGTGTATACAGACAGAATATTTTGTTTACACCAATTTGTATTTTCCCACCAATCAAATAAATCATTTGAGATACTGAACTGAGACAGTACATTAAAAAAGGATTGGTTAGAAGAATAATATGATGGGAGGATGTACTCAGTGAAGTCATTTACTTTCTGATTTTGTGATTTCCTTTTGGAATTATGAGTGTGATTTTACTGGGAGTCTGACAAAAACAGATGTTGCCTTAAACTTTTAATGGAGAGTGTTCTTTCTTCCACCAGTACCCTTTTCTAGGTCAGTACACTGAGTGTGCCTTGGCACTTGGCAAACTAATAGGTTTTAAGTACTTGTGAAAATTACCTCTTCTCTTCAGCAGATCTATTTTCTATGGCATTCCATTCCCTTTAGAGCACACCCACCCTGTGATGCAGAGACAAAGAAGGCAGGCTTGCACACTGACCAAATTAGAAATTTATCAAGATGAAACTTAAAACAATATCTGCATACCTACAGCCTTGCAGATGATCCACTCTTACAGGTCATCACTGAAGGAAGAACTGGAAGCAGACTGTTAAAGAAGTCATTTGCTGTAAATTAGGGGTATGTGCTTTTCCTTTTTCTTTTAAGCAAATAAACCAAAACAGGCTGTAAGTTGTTTGCTGCATTTTAGAGTATAGTCTATTCATGTGTAAACATCTCTTCCCCATGAGTTCCTCCTACACTCCAGCCTCCATTGCTTGAGACAGCTGAACAAAAGAACTGTCTCTTCCACTTCTTTTCATGCTGCTTAAATCCTCCACTGAAGCCCTTAATATCTTTCTCCAAAATGTGCCTCAACCATATCATGCAAAAATCACAGTCATTACCAGTTGAGATGCTTTTTTAATGATGTGTGTCACAAGTGATGTCCAGTGTCACCCACCAGTGACAACTGTAATGAGTCTGAAATGCCACAGTTTTCTCTGGTTCATGGATTATCATACAAGCAGTCACCCAGCTCATAGGATTATCTTTGAGACAATCCAGTTCTGTTTCAAATGACAGCCCTGTCTTTTCTGTTAGTCTCAAAAGAATATAAAGAATGGAAAAGGACTTTCCTGAGCTCTTTTTAAAACCATCTCAGAGCAAGGCTTAATGTGACACCATCAGCTGGTCTGACCTACTTTGAAATTCTTACAGTCTGACTGGAAAGCCCTCTGGACTTTAAGCGCTTTATTCTGTCTCAGGTCAACCTTTGTTGCTGAAGCTGCTTTTATTGTGCAACTTATACATTTTCCATGCTCTGAGTCCTACTTTGGCGCATTCATATTGATGATGGTGGGCAGTTCTAGAATTGAAATTCGAAAATTAAAATGTCAAAAATTGTTCTGCTTCTAGCATCTTCCCGCTTTCACCCTTCAAAACAGAGGGTTACACTGAGATATTTCTTAAATTGCAATCGATAGGAGAGGGAAATTATTTTCAAAAGAAAAAGCAAAAGAATGTGCTCTCTGGAAATAGGAACAATTTTCTAGGTTAGATTAGAGAAAAGGCTCTCTAAAAGAATTTTTCAGCATTGTTCAGAATAAACAAGAGATGACATCTGATTAAGTACAGTGGAACTGGAATAACGGCACTTCTGAAGTAAAATGAAAATCTGTATGCACTTAAAGGAAGTCAAAGATGAGATCATAAAAAGAGGAGAAGCTTAAAGGAAAGAAGACAGCTAGTTTGGTCACTCTGGATCTGCACTGTTCATTTTCCCTCTATTGCCTGCATCGCACAAGTCCCTGAGCACACATCTGCTAAGAACTCCTTAGTAGTGTTGGATCTCCACAGTAGTCACTTGGATCTCCTCTTCACAGCCTCCCTTTACAGCCTTTTGAGGAGCTACCCAGAACACTGGTTAATTCAAATATTTTTTAAACATCTTCAGAAGCCTCTCAGCCCGTTTACTAGACTTGGGAAAATTCAGTTCTGCTCTTCCTACCCTTGCTTATCTCAGATGCTGTATCAGCACTTATCCAAGGCTGGTATTTAAGGTGGTCCCTGCCTTTCCTCCAGATTCCTTGCCAGTTCAGCCCCATATCCCTTTAGCACTTTCTGTATTCCATCAGCTCCACCTTCCCCACCAGTTTTGTTCACCCCACTCTCCTCCACCTTCATGTCTCCTTCCCTGTGCTGATTTCTGAGGCTCTGCTCTCCTGCCCATCATCCTGTGCTTGAGAGGCTGCACCAGGACATCCTTTCTCTCCTCACATGTTCAGTTAGAGGACATGGGAGGAGAGAAATCAAGCCAATCTCAAGAGCAAATGGCAAGACACTAAAACCAGTTGTTTTTCAGTCTCCTCCTTCTCCAGTGGAAGGAGGTTGGACCAGAGGCTGCACCAGAGGCTGCCTGAGGTCCCTTTCAACCCAAATTGCCTTAGGATCACATTTTTTCTTACACATTTTTTTTACCATCCTTACCAATGTCTCCCCATTCTTCTACTATTTCCTGTAGTTTGGATCATACTTACAAGACAAGGTAAGCTCTACTCAGCAGACATTGAAAGCTTGTAAGAGCCTTTTGGGTTTACTTGTTCATAGTGTTTTTAAAGGTAACTTGGAAGATGGAACCTTCCAGGATAGTAAAACCAAACACTTGGAGAGCTGTGGGATAACTGTGGGTAATAAAAGTCACAGTTTAGCTGTCCAAGGAAAAGAAAAGAGGGTGATTATAGGCAGCAAGAA